CACGGGGTGGGGGGCGGTGACCTTGGAACATCCCATCCCAGGGACCGGGGGGGGTGTATAGGATAGACCATCTACACTGGGGGGGGGAACCATCTTCCATTCCCCGCGTCTCCACCCAGCTCCCTCCCCGTTCCTACGCATGATCCCTTCCCAAGTGGGCCACACAGCATTCAGATTTGCTTCCTTTTTGTTTATTTTCGACCCCCTCGAACACAAAAAACAACCCCTTGTTCATGAATCCTCCCCTCTCTAGCTCTGACTTGGTTCGTTCCGAAAAAGAAAAGGCGCAACCCAAGAGCGGGCACTGCGCGTGCCAGGGGTCGTTCCACTTCGTGGAGCGGGAGGCGGGGCTGGCTCTCGGCTGCCCCCTGGCTCGGCGGACTCCCCGGGAGGCGGTACTGCAGCTGCAAAGGTGCACATAAGCCCCTCCACGTGGATCCGACTTTGAGGGTGGTCGCAGGGGGGCTGCAGAGAGCTGGCTGCAGCCTCCCTGGAAGTCCCTCCGAAACGTGGAGTTTGGCTTAAGGGGCAGGTGGTTTTTAGCATGATGTTGGGGTTCTTTTCCTTTGGCTCTTGGTCTGTGCATCCAATTTCCAGCCTGCCTCAGTCGTATTTCCTGCTTTTGCTCTGCTATAGTCTCAGAGGGGTAGCTGTGTTAGTCATTACAGAACTCTGCCTAGACACTCACAAAGCAGGCAAGCCCAGCATCTCCTGTTTGCGGGGGCAGTAGGACATACCCCCAAAAACATCCCTGTTAGCAACTCTTCCTATTATTTCTACAGTCTCAGCCCATCTGCACCAAGGAAATAAAACACAATGGGATTGACAGTATTTAGGGGGAGATGTGTCTTGCTTTCTGCACAGCTCTGGAAAGAAAACTCACTGCCACCATCGTCCCAAGCAACCAGGCTCACTAACCCTGTCACACCCAGTCTGACATGCTCTAGCTGGTTTCTGGTGGTTTCAACAACATAGCATCACTCCCAGGTTCCCCAAAGCTTTGAAGGGCACGGTCCTATTCCTACCCACTACAGAAAAGGTTCTTATCTGTGGTGCAAACTCCTATGTTTGCATCCACACCAGGCTTTTACAAAGCTGCCCTTAGGAGAAGGAGGGAATCAAGCTTCTACCTGGCACTGTACGGTGCAGGCCTCACTTCAACAGGAGTCCTACCGAAACCAGCCAGAGCTTTGCCTGAGATCAGGCCCATCTCTCCCCCCTTCCCAGAGTGCATTTCTAGAGGAGCTGTGTGTCTGAGCAGGGACAGCCCTGGTATTGTGTCAAATATTCTCCCCAGCCCTCCTAAAACTGGGTGTCATTTCTCGCTGGCTCTGCTGGGCAAATAACCCTGGCAAAAGCTTATGCTATCACTGTCCTGCTGAGCTATTTATACCTGGTGCCCAAAGGGGCTATTCCTAGCGCTGGGCTGCCCATCGGTGATGTCATTCCATCGCATGGGAGGCTCTTTTTTTGGGTGTGATTGTGGGAAGGGTTGTCAGGGAGTGGTGAGAGGCCAGACTCGCCCTTCCTCCCGCACTGCTGCACATCACATATGAGTTCCTTTTTCTTTTTTAACACACTAAGGAGGAAGGTTGATCCTGTGGATAAATAGTAGACCGGGTGTCAGGATTCCTGGCTTCCCATTTCTGGGGGTGGGATCCACTGGTTAGCATAGGGAGAACCAGAGTCAAGAGACCTTATTTCTGTTTCTGCCTTGACCAGGGACTTGTAGGACCTATTGTAATTTGTTTTGTTGCTCTGTGCCTCAGTTTCCCATAGAACAGGGACTAATTGGGTGGTGTTTCTCCAAAGCATTAAGATCGTTCTGTGGAAGGAGGCAGTCTAAAAGGGCGGTCGCTTGCAGGGTTAGGTTCTTAGCATCAGCCTTTCCTGCAAGCTGCCGAGGGCGCTGTTGCAGCGAGGAAGAACTTGGCTGGAGTATACATAAGCGAGTTTTCAACACAGCTCCCAGGGGAGTGTCCCCATAAGATGGGGCGCTGGCAGTGGCAGTGTAGCCAGCCAGCCCTACCAGTGCTGCGTAGTTCATTATTAGGGGCCTGGAGTCTGACACACT